TTTTCCCATAAACCAATCCCACGGAATCAAACTAGATCGTTCATCTCATTGCTGTCTGCATTGCCTTGCTGTATAAAGATTGATTGTTGCAATTCCTATTTTGCAACAGTAACTGAAACACTTCAGGGCAACTTGAGGCTGTGAAATGCAAAGGAAATGCTAGCTTTGGTTTTATTTTTACCCACTGTGTAATGCGTTGTGGCATGGAAAGCAGACATCCATTAGTCATGACTGGATTCAAAGCCAGGTCTTATAAATTTAAGAAATATCTTAATCCACTGCCCACTCTGTTCTCTTAAAATTTCACTTTCAACATTTAGGTTTAATTCAGGAAATGAGGAAGAATTTCTGAGTCATAAAACACTTCATCAAACACTGTATTTGCTTAAATACTCGTCTTCTGTTTATTCATAAATTCAAGTCTCTACAAAATTTAATCACATCATTAAAAAATACACAGAATTGTGAAACCATTAGCAGGGACCTGGGTCAGATACTTTCTGCTGGGGTAAATTAATTGGTATATAATAATTAAACAACTTTGCCAATTTTTTTTCAATTTGATGAGATAAACTCTTGATGTTTGTTTAAACAATATGGTTTTAGGGATGGAATTGCATCTTGGAGAGATTTTCTGATTTCTCTTGAAAGTTAAATGTTAGTAAATAAAAATTCTGTACTGATTATGAATGTTCTGTTAATAATGGATGATGACTTTCTATTCTCATGAAAGAGTAACTTGTGCATTACATATCTTGCAAGAACAACCATTTGCTTTTTAGTGATGTTAGTTGAGGGACAAATGCAGGGGATAAGGATGTGGGAACAGTTTGAGTTGTGTTGAGAAATAACAAAGGTAAGAAGTCACTTGTGGTAAAGTGAAACATAAAGGAAGAAATACTGGGAGCTTGTCAGAAAGATATGGCAATAATCATGGGTGATTTGAACCTACATATAGACAGCAAGTGGGTAAGGGTAGCCTAGATGGTGAATTCATAGAATTCTTACAGTGTGGAAACTGGCCATTTGGCCCAACAAGTCCACACCACCTCACCAAAGAGCATCCCACCCAGACCCATTCCCCTATCCCTGCATTACCTATGTCTAACCCACCTAATCCAAACATCCCTGGGCACTATGGACAGTTTAGCATGGCCAATCCACCTACCCTGCACATCTTTAAGACTGTGGGAGGAAACCAGAGCACCTGGAGGAAACCCACGCAGACACGAGGAGAATGTGCAAACTCCACTCAGACAGTTGCCCGAGGCTGGAATCGAACCTGGGTCCCTGGCGCTGTGATGCAGTAGTGCTAACCACTGAGCCACCGTGCTGCCCCCAATTTTGGGATGGTTTCTTAGAACAGCCAATCAGACAGCAGGCTATACTGGAACTGGTATTGTGCAATGAGATGGAATTAATTAATAATCTCGGAGAGAAGGCAGTGCCGAGGTAGCAGTGATCATAATATGAATAAATTTTGTTTTCAATTTGAGAGATGAGTGGGTCTGAGACATTTTTAAAATGAACATCAGAGTGGAAGAGAGGAGGACCCAAAGACAGTCATCAGCACCTAAAAGAGGAAGGAGAACACTTTGTTTCTGCAACAGCATGAAATAGAGAGAAGGAGGAGGCAGAGAGTGGAATTGGTAGCTACCTGTGCCTGGTAATGTGAAGTTTGGTTCTGGCCTCCTCACTGTGGAACAACTAGACGTATTTGGATTGTTCTATATTACCCTGTCTCTTGTGGAAAAATTTCCAAAGGAAAATACTTTTGACCACAAGTCCATCAGGAATTTGTCAGCACGCAATGTCCTTGAGACCCTGATGGAGAAGGAGAGGGTTGATCCTGTAAGGTGGTTCCTTGAGCAGACTGTCAAAGTCATTCACCAGGATGCCTCATTGCCAGAACTTTCCAACAAGCACCAAGACGTAGCTCAGCTGGTGGTAAGATGGCACTACCTGTGAGATCCTTCATGTATGTCTGGATTCTCTGTGCCACTGCACTGAAGACACGGTTACATATCTCCTTCTGGAATGTGCCTTTGTAAAGAAGGTCTGGAGAGCGATACAGTGGCTTTTATCGAGGTTTGTCTTGAGTAGTTCCGTGATGCAGAACTCTGTGCTCCAAGGTCTATTCCCCAGGACACACACTGAGATAAACATCGACAGCCCCTGGAGGACCATCAACTCAGTGAAAGATGCTCTTCGGTCTGCCCGAAACCTGTTGGTCTTCCTGAACATGGAGCTGACCTTGACTGAGTGTTGCAGTCTGGCACATTCCAAAGTCTGGGATTATGTGCTGAAGGATACACTAATGCCAGGGCAGCTGCCACCAAGGCACAGGGGAGAAAGACCACAGTCTGAGGTCTTTTTGCCAAAATATAAGAAAGTATATCCATTAAGATCCGAGGCTCCATCGTTTGCTTTAGAGGAATATAAATAATTTTCTTTCATGACTAGAAAATGTCCTTTTTTGCAACTGGAATGAGGCTGTAAGAAGGAACATCACAAGTCCTGATGAACTTTATCCCAGGGCTTACAAGTGGTGGTTAGAGAGATGGTTGATGCATTGCTCTTAATTTTCCAAAATTCCCTTGATTCAAAATTCCCATTAGATTGGAAGATAGTGAGTGTAACTTTTTTATTCAAAAATCGAACGAGGTAGAAAGTAGGAGACAACACAGCAGTTAGCTTAACACCTAGAAATAGGGAAAATGTTCAGAGCTATTACAAAAGAGGTTCTAGCGTGGCATTTTGAAAAGTTTGAGGTTATCAGACAGAGTCAACATGGTTCTGTGCAAGGAAAATAATGTTTAATTAACACATTACAATTTCTGGAGAAAGTAACATGCTGTGGACAAAGGGTAATGGGTAGATGTAGTGTACTTAGATTTTCAGAAGGCATCTGATAAAGTGTCACATTAAAGATTCATGTGGAAAGCTCATGGGGTAGGGGGTGATGTACTGGCCTGGTTAGATCATTGGTTTGTTAACAGCAAGTAGAGAGCATGAATAAATGTGTCTTTTTCAGGTTGGCAAGATGTAACAAGTGGTGTGCTGTAGAGATCAGTGTTGAGACTGCAACTATTTTCAATTTAAATAAATGAATTGGTTGAAGGGACAGAAGGTACGTTTGCCAAATTTGCTGATGACATGAAGATAGGTAGGAAAGTAGGTTGTGAGGCAATATATAGAGGCTTAAAAAAACAGGAAGGTAGTGTGAGTTGGCAAAGATGTTGCAGATGGAGCATAATGTGGGACAGCGTGAAATTATCCATTTTAGCAGGAAAAACAAAAGAAAAAGAGGCATATTATCAAAATTTTCTGAAGAAGGGTCTAGGCCCGAAACGTCAGCTTTCCTGCTCCTCTGATGCTGCTTGGCCTGCTGTGTTCATCCAGCTCTACGCCTTGTTATCTCATATTATCAAAATACTGGGGGACTGCAGAGCTCTGAAATTCAGAGGAATTTGAGGGTCCTTGTGCGTGAATCAGAAAAGGCTACATTGCAGGTACAGCAAGTAATTAGGGAAACGAATTCAGTGTTATTATTTCTTGCATGTGGAATTAAGTATAGAAGCAGGGACATTATTGTTCGGTTATACAGAATACTTGTGAGAGTATATCCAGAATACAGCATACAGAGTTGGTCACCTTATTTAGGGAAGAATATGAACAGAAGAATTTCAGAGAAGGTTTATCAGATTAACACCAGGAAAGGGCAAGTTGTCATATGAGAAAAGGTCGGACAGGTTTGGCTCTGCCTGGGTTCAGAAGAGTGAGAGGCAGATTGATTGAAACATATAAGATCCTAAGCAGTTTTGGGATGGTAGATGTGGAGAGGATATTTAGGAGAATCTAGAAATAGGGATCACTATTTAAAAATAAGGGCTAACCCATTAAAAAAACAGAGTTGAGGTGACTATTTGAATCTTTGAGTCTGTTTTTTTGGGATGGTGGTGGAAACAGAGTCCTTGAATGTTTTTAAAGCAGAGGTAAACAGGTTCTGAGTAAGCCAGGGGTGTAAGGTTACTGGGGCACACAGGAATGTGGGATTTAAGATTGCTTTCAGATCAGCCATGACCTTATTAAAGCTGGAGGCAACTCGAGGGCCAGATATCCTACTCCTGCTATATATGCACATGCTCGTCAATTCTATATATCGGACATTGGGAAAGTTAATTCAATCACTAGAAAATTGTTTTTCTGTTAATTTATTATCCGATGTTCAATTTGATTCAGTTATACTTATTATGCCAAGCTGGTCTTTGTGTTAGCAATGATGAAAATTGAAAATATCAGAGCATTTGAAACAAAATTGGTTATCAGGCCAATGCTTAAAAAGTACATTAACATTGACTCTATAGCTATAGGTTTTGCATCCTTCAGATTTTCTGCAATGACTTTGCCACCCCAAAAGCTTAGATTCCAGACTGAAGCACCTACCATATTGTTTGTATTCATTCACAGGACATGCACATTGTTGGTCAGGCCAGCATTTATTGCCCATCCTTAATTGCCTTTGGGGGGAGAAGGTTGAGGAATTAAGAGTCAACCACATTGCAGTGAGTGTGGAGTCACATGTAGGCCAGACTGGGAAAGGATGGGAGATTTCCTTCCCTGAAGGACATTAATGAGCCAGAAGGGTTTTTCTGACAATCGGCAGTGGTTTCTTGATCATTATTAGACTCTTAATTCCAGATTTTTTAAAAAATTGAATTCAAATTCCACCATCTGTTATGGTAGGATTTGAACCCAGGTCTCCAGGACATTACCTGGGTCTCTGGATTAATAGCCCATCACCTCCCACTTGCCATGTTGCTACAAAGCTTTAATCCTAAACAAGGATCTTGTAACAGAACAAGGCTGTTAGTTAAGAATCTGTTTTCTTTGACAATGAATGCTGAAATTATGGAGGCTTTCAGCAAATAGTGTGTTTATTCCTCAGTTTGCTTTGAGCCCATCAGATGTAAATCTGTTTTCTCAACTCAACTAATTACCCCATCGAGCAACTTAGCAAGACTGCCTGATATATGAGTAACTTCTGATAACTGCAGCTCTCCAAAGGTTTTCCCTTCACTTCCAATCTGATTGCATGGGATCCTCAGGGCTGATTTTGGATCAATTCCAAACTGTCGAGTTGTGGATGCCCTCACTGTGATCACCCCGAGCAACTGACTGGCCATCCTCATGTCTCTGGACTTCTATCAGTATCTGCTCTTGTCTTACTGTGCCTGGACCCCCTGCTTGATTCATGCCTCCCTGGACTTGATCTAACACTGTTCCCCTTAGACTTTGAAACATTTATTTGAAGCACATACGGTGTGTTTGGCACTTGTGTGGCTAACCCTGAAAGTGCATGTCTGCTCCCCAGTTCGATAACTGCTGACAGCCATGACCAGCTGCTTGGTTTTGCATCTGCCTGATAAAAAAACAAGACAAGATAGAAGCACGGTGAGCCTTTCAGCTCTCGCTGCGATGGATAAGCACCAAAAACGCAAGGCAAGGCAGGGATACTGTGAGCATTGAAGTAGATGCAAAGTGAGTGAGCACTAAGGGAGTGAGCGAAAAGTCCTGAGTTGCTCCCTAGTCCAGACTGTGAGTTGGGTGCTAGTCTCTGTGTCTAAAATGTCCATGCAGTATCACTACAAGGAGAGAGAGATACTGATGCACTCCAAGATCCAGCACTGACTGAAGTGCAAAAGTGTACTGTCAGTGAGCCAGAGATATGCCATGATGGTGTGATGAGGTGGTACATATTCAACACAAATGTTCATGGATGTGGGGTTTGACGTAAATGGCCATGCCTGTGGAGTGTGCCCTGAGATATGGGTGACTGGCGTTCGCCATGGGCAGCACCTGCAAGAGCAGGTGGCAAGCTGGAATCTCCAGATACCCACTTTGACTTTCATGTCTGGAATTCTCAGCATCTAGTTTCTACTCGGTGGGTGGGAGAACAGGAAGCTGCATTTTAATGAGGTGAAGTTAGGTAATAATGAGGGCGATAATGAACGATAATTGAGGCAATTAGGCCTCTTGTTAATGGGAATCTCATCTCACCTTTCAGCACTTGGTAGGAGAGGAGGCCTTTTGGATCTCAATGTTGAGAAGCTCCTTGCTGGTCATCTCACTCTGTTTTATTAACTTTCGCACCATGGCCCACATCATTCTAAGGCCACCATCAATGAACAAGTTCAATGATGTGAAGGTGCTGGTGTAGGACTGGGGTGGACAAAGTCAGAAATCACATGACACCAGGTTATAGTCCAACAGGTGTATTTGAAAACACAAGCTTTTGGACCCTGTGATTTCCGATAAATCTGTTGGACTATAACCTGGTGTCGTGGACTTCCATTGAAGTTCAATAGAACACTTACACAATAAATACATTTGAAAATGAAAGCTAATATTTTGAGTTTGTAGTAAGGGTACCACATGCCTGGTGTTCTGTGTTTTCCATTTAATGAATGCTTCAATTTTGTAATGTTGAGTTTTATTTTCCGAACAGGAAGTGCATGGCTTCGGAATGATCAATTTGAGAATGTGAAATAAAATATTAAAAAGACGCAGGGAACAGTCTGATATCACTTGCTTCGTTCTAGGAGGCCAAATAAGCTTTCATGGAATTCTTCAGAAAACAAAAAGAATCATTTAATTCAATATAGAGAGTAATGAGATTGTTGTCTCGTGAGATTTTCTTATTAAACTTGATAAAGCTGTTCACGGGATGTTGCTCCGCTGTGCACATGACTGAACAGTTAGTCTTTCTGGTTGAGGTAGTGTGGAGATATTGAATACAACACAGAATGAAATTATGTCAAATGAACCACTGAATTTGTCAACTGTGCTGAGTGCTTTATTTTCCATAATTTGTCATTTCTCACTCATGCATTCTGTTTAATTCTGGAAAAACAAATAGCTGAAAGGTACAAGAATTGTCAATTTAATATCAGGCAAAAGGATTTTTCACCCAGTCTCTTACTATACATCTAGTGTGAGACGAATAAATAAAACAGCTTTTGACTGCTAATGCTGTTCTCTTGGGGATATCACTGGTCTCATGACTGAGTCATGCCTAGATCTGAAAAAGAAACACTCATTGTTTCCAGCACCTCCTCCATTTGCAATAATACTCCTGCAGTGACCAATATTCTCAATGACATCCTCACGTCTAGCCTTGGTGTTCTCCACACCACTGAAAGCCTTACTCTCTCCCAGCCAATCATCCACCTTGGTGTGCCCTCCTTTCCTCTCCCTTAAATCCAAGGGACTGTAGATTTGATTGTTGAAGGTGTACAACTGGTTTAGTCAGCCATCACTAGGTCTCAGCGGAACACATCAAACACTATAGGCCCCTTCCCCCAACCGCGCACCCCCACACCCCGCCGCCCCGACCCCAGCTCTGCTTCTGCCAGTGCTCATCACTTTCCCAGGACCATTGTGGATTGTAAGGACAGCTGTAAGCTTCTTTTCACCGCTATCAGCCATTTGCTTAACCAGTTGTCTTCTGCCTCCTCCTCCTCCTTTATCTCCAGCATCAAATATGACATGTTTATGAACTATGTTGTCGCTAAGAATGAGACCATCCATCTCTGCTGCTTCTCTTCTCCCCCTTGTTCACTAAGACTGTGATATCCCACCACCCCAAAACCTCCTATCCTAGCCTTGATCTTACAAATTTCTGTACTTCCTCCCCTATCCACCTCACGCATCTCTGAACACACCTTATCCATGAGACATTATAATTGACCACAACCACCAAACTCTGAGAAGCTGCCCCTTGTTGACCACCTGTATGAGTCTACCCTTGCCATCTCCACTCTTCTGCAGCCGTGGCAATATAATCTCCCAAGATGCCTTCTCTTCCTGCTTTTTGCCATTGGGTACAGTAGCGGCAGCAGTGGATACCACCTACAAGATGCACTGCAGAAATTCACCAAGCTTTCCAAATTTGCACCTTCTTCCACCTAGAATGTCAGCAGATACATGGGAACACAACCACTGTCAAGATCTCTTCCAAGTTAGACACCATCCTGACTTGGAACTACATAGACATTCCATTACTGCCACTGGGTCAACTTCCTGGATCACTCTCCTCAACAACACAGTTCAGGGGGGTGGTCTCTACACCTGATAGACTCTTGACGCTTGTTCCTTCTTTTCTCCCCCTGAAATTTGTGCAAAGGACTTTTTGAAGTTCATTCTTTTTATCCTGTATAACTACATCCTCTTCCAGTGCTATTGTGCCCTGATCTTGTTTGTTTGCCAATGCTTGGATAACCTTACAATTGTGATGACAGCCCACAGTCACATAGCTTCAGCAATACTCATGACTCAAACATAAACAAGCCATCCATATGTTTGCTGCTAATTAACTCCAGGCATGCAAACAACAATTGTATAAATCACCCTTCATCTACCAGGAACTGATAAAAAAAACATCAACAAAGGAATTCATAGCGCATGCACATTACCAAAAACGACAAAACAACAGCAGGAAAAATATAAAATGCCTCCACCTTGAACGTGGGGTCACAGGTAGACACGATAGTGAAGAAGGCATTTGGTCCACTTTATTGGTCAGTGCATTGAGTACAGGAGTTGGGAGGTCATGTTGTGGCTGTACAGGACATTGGTTAGGCCACTTTTGGAATACTGCGTTTGTTTCTGGTCTCCCTTCTATAGGAAAGATGTTATTAAACTTGAAAGGATTCAGAAGAGATTTACAAGGATGTTGCTGGGGTTTGAGCGAGAGGGAGAGGCTGAATAGGTTGGGGCATATAGAATCCCTACAGTGTGGAAACAGGCCCTTCGGCCCAACAAGTCCACACCGACCCTTGCAGCATCCCACCCAGACCCATCCCCCTATAACCCACACACCCCTGAACACTACAGGCAATTTAGCATGGCCAATCCACCTAGCCTGCACATCTTTGGACTGTGGGAGGAAACCGGAGCACCCGGAGGAAACCCACGCAGACACGGGGAGAATGTGCAAACTCCGCACAGACAGTCGCCCAAGGCTGGAATCGAACCTGGGTCCCTGGCGCTGTGAGGCTGCAGTGCTAACCACTGAGCCACTGTGCCACCTTTATGTTGGAGTATCGGAGGCTGAGGAGTGATCCGATAGAGGTTTATAAAATCATGAGGGGCATGGATAGGGTGAATATCCAAGACCTTTTTCCTAGGGTCAGGGAGTCCAAAACTAGAGGGCATAGGTTTAAAGTGCCAGGGGAAAGATATAAAAGGGGCCTAAGGGGTAACTTTTTCAAGCAGAGGGTAGAGTGTGTATGGAATGGGCTGCCAGAGGAAGTGGAGGAAGCTGGTACAATTGCAATATTTAAAAGGCAACTGGATGGGTATATGAATAGGAAGGGTCTAGAGCGAAATGGGCTAAATTCTGGCAAACTGGACTAGATCAATTTAGGAAACCTGGTCAGCATGGACGAGTTGGACTGAAGGGTCTGTTTCCATGCTGTATATCTCTATGACTCTATAACCGTATGTTCTAATTTCCTACAGTTGGATGAAACATTAGGAAAACTAAAGCCCTTTTATTTCTGGCATGTGTTTTGCATTAAATGAATGTTTTGTTTTTGTAACATTTGGCCATTGTTTAGGATTTAGGGCGGGGTGCAGTTTGGGAATAAAACAAACATCCAGGCTTAATGAGTAAGCAAATGGCAAAGATATTGGAAACTCTCTGGTAATCAGAGGCTGGTCAGCCTTTCAGCAATGTCTTCTGGAACCATAAGGAATAATTTATTATTACCTCGAATAAAAGGAAAATGCTGTGAGTGCTGGGAATCTGAAACGAACGCAGCGAACACTGGAAAAACTCAGCAGATCTGGCAGCATCTGTTGGAAAGAGAAATAGAGTTAATGTTCTGAGTTTGTTATGACTCTTTTCCAGAAGTTATTTACTATTATCAATGTTTTTTGATTTTAAATAGAAGATGAGAGCTTTGGCTTGTGAAGCTAACTCATTAAACTCGACAAAATCGTTCAAGAGATGCTGCACTGGTTTTGAATAAACCTCTGCTTCTCAGATGGCGGAATTAAAGGGTACATGACAGAATAATGGATTATGACAAATAAACCACTGTATTATTATTCATCTGTACTGAGTGCTTTATTTTTAATAAGTCATCACTTTTTGCTCATTCATAGAGTCACAGAGCTGTAC